TATCTTCTGAAATCGACGCGTTCATACATACGGACAGACGGACAGACGGACAGACGGACAGACAGACGGACAGGGCCAAATCAACTCAGCTCGTCACCCTGATCAAGAATATATATACTTTGTGGGGTCTGCCACGCCTCCTTCTCCCTGTTACATACATTTCAACAAAACCATTATACCCTGATTTCCCATTGAAAATGGGTTCAGGGTATAAAAAAAAAAAACAACGTTTAAGCACATCTCAAATAATTGTTCGAGTGCTGCAAGTTGAGAGCACTCGAATGGCTGTACAGTAAAGCACGTGTATAACGACTGACAGCAACTATTAATAGTCGTCAAACGCAAATACAACTGTGTGTGTTTATCTCTCTCTTTCTCTATGTGTATGCGTGTGTGTGTTCAATTAGGCTATGAACAAAAAAATGTAAATTATAATAAATAAACAGCAATGGGCAGCGGGCAAACAAGCGCTAACTGCCTAACCCTCCCCTTCATTGACACGCCCCCATTTGTAATTGTTACAATTATTTTGTTTACTTTGACAGGGAACAGCTAAGTGCTCAAAGGCGGGGAGTGTAAGTGTGAGAGAGCGAGTCAGATGGAGTGAGCTACTATGCTCTCCTTTGTCTCACTCAACTCAACTCTCCAGTTATTTTTGCGTATTCGCTTTCTTGCATGTCAAACTTTCAGTATATGAGTGCGTGTGTGTGTGTGAGTCATTGATGCGGCTGCTTCTGCTGTGTATTTGCATGCTCTATGTGTGTGTGCGATGCATTGCTTTAGCCTGCAAGAAAATAATAATAACAGCAACTACAACAACAACTCTGCAGTCGTCTAGCGTATTGTTTGTGCATTGCTTATTCTTCGTGCTTCTCGTATTGTCGTAGCGTCTAGGCTGCGGCGCTCTTCCTCTTTGCTATTTTGAGCGTTTGTTTTGTTCTCGCGCGCGCTCATTCTCTCACTCTGCTCGCTCCCTGTGCTTGACTACGCTCATTCATTGCGGTACTGCAGGCAAGTATTTATATATATGTATGGGTGTGTGTGTTTGTGTGCTTTTGATTACACACATACATACGCACATATATATACACAAATGCCCGCTCGCATTTACACACATGTGCAAAACGGAGGCCGGCGCACGTGGTAGCTAAACGTGATAGTACAACAACACAGCAACTGACAGCAAAACAAATAGAAAACCTGACAACGATGCGGCGACGACAAACGACGTCGCAGCAGCTGTTTGTCGATTCGCTTGCGTCGCAGCCGCTGCTGCTGCTGCTGTCGCTGTCGCTGTCGGCACCGACGCGTCGTCGCTGGCGTTGACAGCAACGCATCGTTTGGCAACTGTTGCCAGCGCCTGTTGCTCTGATTGGCGAACGACGCACACGAAGCAGCTGCGCCAATGGCAGCGCACGCTGTGGGAATCCTTTACGCTTCGCTGCGCGCTATTGGCAGACGCACGACCCACAGCCAGGAGATTCGGCAAACAACGAGCATTTGCGACTTGTTGCTGTGCACTCAAAAATAAACGGATCACGGGTTGTATGCTTGATTTGTTTGCCAGATGCGTGCCGTTTGGATTTGATTGACTGATAGGAAGGGGGAAATGCAAAGAGAGAGGCAGAGAGATGGGCTGTTGACATGTGAAACAGCTAAGCTGCTTGACGAACCTTAAGCTCAGCTCAGCGTGAACGAGTGCAAGGGTTCACAATTTGTTTAAAAATAGTTGTTAATCTATTTATGGCATAAGCAAACATATATTTTTAAATGTGAGCACTTAAATGTACATTTCATTTAATTGATAAGAATTCAATACTATTTTTAGTTTAATTAATAAGAAACCATTTGTTTTTGTTCGATTTATATAATTTAATTACGGTCTTTACACAATATATTGTCTATAGATTTTCTATATTTAAATTTGTTTTCAATTAATCATGTTTTGTAAATTTTCCATTTGACCATTCTGAGATTATTTCATTTTCATTTGTTCATATTATAATTTATACGAACTTTTCACTTTTTACTTATTTACTCAATTCCTTCTTTACGAATATTCATATTGTTTATATATATGCATTCCCCACTTAGAGTTTTGTAATGTTTAAATTTCAAATTTTTTAAATGGTCTTTCAGTTCATTGCCTTTGCTTCATATATACATTACTCCAATTCTCATTGTTCCACTTTGAGAGTTCCATTTCCAGTGCTCCTTATCACAGTTTTTCTTCAGGTTTCTCTCTGACGTTTCTAAGAGCCTTACGTAGCACATATGCCTAGATAATTCTACGCTTTTACATCATTGATAGACAATCGAAACTTCTCGAATCGAGCGTTTGCTCAGAGCCCTAATGAATTTACCAGAAAAGTAGATAAATTGGCGAATTAACTGAAAATTTAATTGTTTGCAAAAAAAAAATCACCTTTTTTATGTACTGCGCTTAATTAATATAATTTCTAATAATAATGATGGAAATAATGGAAATTATTCCCTTCGAATCACGCTGCACCTGGGGCTTAAAAAGGTCGCCAAGGCAACCCCAGCCAGCAAGCAGATGCAAACGAATCTTTCCATGAAATTACGCATACGTCACGTGTTGCAAGCCAATTAATTTGTTTGTGCGCGTGCCACACTCAAAGCTCGAAGCTCACCATCGTCATCGATACTTTAATCACTTTTGTGGCACACACACACACGCACACACAGAGAGAGTGAGGGAGAGAAAAGCAATTAGAACAGGAAACGGAAGACTTGCAGCGGTCAGCTTTTGTCTATGAGGTGGTCGTTGCTGCTGCTGCTGTTGTTGTTGTTGTTTATTTTTGCTAACTGTAAGAGAGAGAGAGAGAGAGAGAGAGCGAGAGCTTGCATATATTTTTAGCTGTGTGTGTGCGTGTGTGTTTAGCTACTTTAACTATGCCAAATGCAACGAAACGTTCAACGTGCGCGCCAACGCGTGCCTGTGTGTGCATATGCATGTGCCTCTGCCTGTGCATGTGCATGTGTATGTGTATGGCATGTGCATGCGTGTGTGTGCGCTTAACTGACTCTCAGTCTCAGCTGCCCTGTGTGTATGTTTGTGTGTGCATGTGTGTGTATGTGTGTGTGTGTGTCCCGGTGTGTTCACAACACGTGCTTAGAACTTTGCTAGACGTTGGGCTTTGGGTCATATTGGAATCCGCGTGACTTTGTCGCCGCTGCCGCTGTCGCTGTCGCTGCTGGCAGCGCTCTTCGCTGCGCTGCTCGCTCACTGAATTTTCATCAGCTACAGAACTGCGCGCCGCGCCGCGCTGCGCTGCCGTTGACACTAATGTTTGTATTTATTTATATAGAAATTATTTATTATTACTTTTTTGCGAACTAGCTTTTTGCGCTATTTATCAGTTGGCTTAGAGAGAGATATATAAACATATGTGCAGATGTATGTATGTATATATTTCTCTATATATTTTTTATTAACTTTAAGGGCCTCCCTTCACTATTTACGTAAGTTGCAGTTAGGGCTTCATTTTTTAACTTACTTGCAGAAAATTGCAATTTACATTGCGGCACTTTTATTTTATTATTTTTTCTCTCCCTCTCCTCCGATTTTTTTTTTGCCTCTTGTAGGCGTTTTGCGACAAACAGCGCTGCCAGCGTCTGCAGCGACTGCACTGGCAGCGCTGCTAGCAAGGGCAGCGACTGAGACTGTGACTGAGACTGCGGCTCGGCCATGGCTACGGCTGTGGCCCGGCATTCGTTCGCATCGCGTTCTCATGTCCAAATCGTTCTCGTTCAACTGCGCGTGCGACTCTAACGCGAAAAACTGTGAAGAAAATTCTAAATAGAAGAAAAGTAATAATATTAAAATAATAATAAAATAATAAAAAATACAAACAAACTAAATTAAATTAAATTAAATACACAATGTTAATCAAAATAAATATTTACTCAAAAACTGTAAAATTCCTAAGGCAATCAACAATTGCGCATTGAGTCGAAAGAAAGGCTTTTCAAAGGTGCAAAGTTCTAGAAAGCAAGTGCAACGCAAATAGAAAAGCAAATCAAACAAAATCTACAACTGATATATCGCATACTATATATATATGTACGTGCATATATAGTACATATAAGTCTATAGTAAAAAGAACAAATGTGAACAGTGATTGTGCTCTAGTGTCAAATATCATTATATATATATAGAAACATATAATAGATATAGTTAAAGATATTTCTATCTGTAGCATATGCAAGCAAGCAACAGTGCTAAAATTACAGATCTAATTTCAAACAGTTTAATTTTAATTTTAATTATTACAACAACAACAAAACAAAAACAGCAAGCCAAAAATTTATAGAACAGATCAATAAATTAGAAAAGGTATTAATATAAACAAAAATAAATTAAAAAGTAAATAAATAAATAAATAAAATTTTAAAAAAATTTAAAATTGTAATTTTACAAAAATTCTTAGTATTATTTATAATTATTATTTATTTTAAAAGAAATACAAAAATATTATTAAAACAAAAAATTAAATTAAAAATAAAATTTAAAATTTAATTAATTTAAACTTTAACTTTAATTTTTACAATTTTAAAATTTTATATTGCAACTTTTAATTTAAATTTTAAAAATCAAAACTAAATTCGAGTTAGACTTTTTCAATTAAAATAGGCAAAAAAGAAGAATTTCAAATCAAATCTTAAATTACAATTTTTAAAACAAAATCTATATTATAATCATAAATTAACTAACTTTCTTTCGTCAAGATTTGTATTTAAAAAAAAAAATATATATATATATATATATATATATATTATTTCTTATCGCCGTAACCGCAAATGAAAATAGTTTAACACAGCTCATCAGACTAAAGAAAGCTTACAACAAACCGAAACACATCAAACCCTGCTCATTATGCAGGCTCATTATCATTAGCATTATCATGATCATTAACCATAAACTTATTAGCCAGAAGTAAAATACTAATAATCGCCTTTCCTTACGAAAGCAAAAATGTTTGCCATATTTTAGATATTACAATTAAACTAAAAAAGGAAAAAAAACTAAAATAACAGTGTTGTTAAACAGTGAAAGATGCGCACAACTTTAGGCAGTTGGCCAAAGTTTTCATTGCTGTGCAGCAAATATAATCACGCCAATCACAAAGACGTCGCCACTTAAGCGATATTAAAGTAACAAAATCAACTGCAACTCAAAGCTAAACCAGTGCTAAGAAAACAGTGTTGAACAATGTCTTCGGATACAAATTCGTGCGCCGGCTTCTTTGTCCAGGAGCACGCAAATGCGACGCTCTCGCAATACTTTCAGCAGCTCAACTCGCAGGTGGCTGCAGTTGTAGCCGGCAACAGCAGCAGCGGCAGCAGCAATAAAGGTGCCAACAACAGCAACAACAGTAGCAGCAGCAGCAGCACCGGCAGCAACAACAACAACACCAACAACAACGGCAACAGCAGCAGCGGCGGCAACAGCGACAGCGGAAACGATGGCAGTCTGTCCGGCGCGACGGCAGCCGCAATGGACAACCATCGCAGCAGCGTCAGCAGCAATGATTCCGGCAAAAGCAGCAACAGCAACAGCTCTTCAACAACAGCAGCAGCTGCTGCAGCCGCCGCAGCAGCAGCGGCGAATGCCTGGAACTTGCAGCAACAGCAAACAGCAGTGCTGCATCATCATCATCATCAGCAACAGCAGCAGCAGCAGCAACAACAGCAGCAGCAACAACAACAGCAGCAGCTGCAGCAACATCATGTACAGCAGCAACATGCTGCTGCCGTGGCTGCAGCTCAACAGCAATTGCAGCAGCAGCAACACTCACATCACGCGCAGCAGCAACATGCACATCAGCAACATCAGCAGCAACAGCAACAGCAGCAGCAGCATCAACTGCAGCATCAGCAGCAACATCCTCAGCAACATCATCCACATGCACACAATCCGCACTTGCATCCACATCATCCGCACCAGCAACAGCTACACCAGCAACATCAACATCAGCAGCAGCAGCAACAACAACAACAACAACAGCAACAGCAGCAGCACCAACATCATGCTGCTCAGCTGGCACACACACTCTCCTCCGCAGCAGCTGTTGCCGCTGCAGCATCCAACACCAACACCCACTCGATCTTTGGCACCGGCAATTTCCACTACAAAACCAACAATTCGTGGACGTTGCCAACGCTCAGCTATCAGCGCATCTATCAGGAGAACTCGCATTATCATCAGCGCAGCAACAGCTTCATGGAGGCCCAAAGCTCGACGAACGAGGCGGCGGCGGCGGCAGCAGCAGCAGCTGCAGCAACGGCTGCTGCAACGGCGGCTGCTGCTGCTGCGGCGGCAACAGCAACAGGCAATGGCAACAGCAGCAACAACAACTCAGCTGATAACCACAGCACCAGCAACAACAACAACTCCAGCAACAACACCAGCACCAGCAGCAGCAGCAGCAACAACAGCAATGCCTCAGCAGTGCAACACGTGGCAAGTGCTGTGGCAGCTGCAGTCATTGCCAACGAGCATCAAAACCATTTGAACAGCCTGAAGGCTCGCTTTCAGCCATCCAGCTCAGGTGGGTTCTCGCAGCCAGAGCAGCAAATACTAGAAATATTAAATTTGTTATTAACAAATGCAAAATACAAAATATTTATTCAGCTGTAGCCAAGTTCGCGCAGACCTGAATATTGTTTAATAATGGGTTTTTCCATTACAAAGTCTATTAGATTACAAATGGAGCAGAAGCTGTTAACAGCAATGTTAAAGTGCAGCTCTAATCTGTCTATTAACATTGATCGACAGCTGTTAAGAGCGCAAAGGGGAATTATCTGTAGCTGTTAAGTTAATGCTGCTTTAAACAGATTTTCTAAAATTTGACTAGCAATCTAGCAATCTTAACAGCAGCTGTTAACTTTAGCTGAGAAAATGTTATTAACAGTTGCTTCTACACATTTACAATACTAGTAAGTCTAACTAGTAAGTCTTGCTCTTAGTCAGCTGTTAACTGGACGTATTCTCAGAGTATAACGTAAATACATATCTCTCAATCAAAAAAACTTAAATGCAGCTCAAATACCCAGTCAACTCTTCTTCTTCACTGTGGCGTTTTGGTTATATAGATTTATGTATTAAAAAAATATTTTAGCTCCTAATTGAAATTCAATTAGGCAACGTTTTATGGCCATAAGAAAAATTGAAATTCTTAAGTCGATCGTACTTAAAAAACAATAATAACATAAACATAAACTAGCAGAAAAAAATAAAATATATAAAAATTTTTATTATGCTGTTAATTTATTTTCAATTGAATGTTTTCTCATTTTTTTTTATTTTTTATTTTCATAGAATTAATTTTTTTTAACGCAAATTTCAAATGGCTTTTCTCAGTATTTTCTTACAATTCCCATATACATTATGTTTACTATGTTAACAGCTGCTTAACATAAAATGTTATTCGCCAGCTTAAATTCATATTATATATTGTAAGAACAAGTAGAGAATATTTAGCACTATTTCTTTCTAAATGGAATTACACAAATGTTGTCATACTTAAATATATATCTATCGATAGATAATTTGAATGAGCTGTGCCTAGTCACAATTTATGACAAAATATTTATGATAAATGAATGATTATTATTATTAGCATTTACATAAATTGTTCAGCCCAGCCTCAGTCTAATTATTCAAATCACCTGCTCTGCTTACTGAAATCTAGCCATCTCCTTCATGCACTCTCACTCTCTCTCTCTCCCTCTCTCGTTCTCTGTTTCTCTCACTCATCTGTTATCTGTTTTCTGTTAAATCTTGAATGTCGAAAAAGCTTGCAGCGTACACGTGAGCGGCTTGTGTGTGTGTGGCTAGCGATCTCCCTCTCTCTCTCTCGCTCACTCCTTTGCTAGTTGTCTGCGCTGTCTGCGTCATTCCCTGCCTATCGCAATAAAAACTTAATTAATATGCGCACAAAACTTTGCTTTTGCGCTTCGTTTGCATTTTGCAGCTCGATTTTTACGTTATTTCGTCACTGTTGTTGTTGTTGTTGTTGTTGTTTTCGGGGTGCTGTTGCTGTTGTTGTTGTGATATTTGACTTATCATTTGATAAGTTACGACCTACGGCAAGCAGTCGCAATACCCTATGGCAATTAGAAACGGGTTGAACTGAGGTATATAAGGCATTTATGGAAATTGAATGGAAGTGAATGGAACATAAAATTACAATGAAATAACGTATAGAAACGGAAACGTTGTAACAGAGCATTACAGTGTAGTCCAGAGTACCCAGAATACTCTCTGTACACCTCTGCGAGTCTATAATTCAACCTCTCTCGTTCTTTTTAATATACATTTTAATCTTTACTCAATCAAATTACACGTCTGTATCAGTATATATCATTCGATCTCTCTCTCTCTCGCTCTTTTTGTCTCTGTCTCTCTTGTTATCCATTTATGTCGACTTCACACTCAATCTATTCAAACAAGTTTTATCTATACATATACATATAGGGTATTATCTAGCCGTGTTTGTATTTATTGCATTACAATCTCTGTCTGCCCTTAACGCTCTCCCTATCTCTCTCTCTCCCTCTACTCCTCCCTTTCTCTGTCTCTCTCTCACTCCTTCCATTAATGAGTAATTCAAATGTATACCCCTATCTGTGCATGCCCTTATTCTTCTCTCTCTCTCTCCCCCACTCCTCCTCTCCCTCCCACACACATTCATTTCACACTCGTTTCGCATGCAAATTATCATTTCACACTTGCATTTTGTGCTGGAAAATTGTTTGACAAGTTGTGAAATTTACGATTTACAATAAATCAAGTGGAAATTGGCACAGCTTTTCGCAATGGCTGCTTAACGGCTCTACTATATGCTACATTTGGAGCTAGGCTGGCCCACGAATGGGGTCAAATTGTGAGTAGTCTCTGCAGCGCATCAGCTGATTAGCCACAACAACAAGAAGAAGCAGCGCTAGCTGCAATTCAATTGACAAATGGCATCAAATGCTATCCATCATTCAAACACACACTCACACACACACATCGCGCGCTTTTCTTTGACCAATGCGCGGTTCCATTTTCCATTTTCCCATTTTGGTTGCGAGGTCAACCTTTGAGCCTGTTCTCTTCTCTTGTTGGCCAAAATCCATTCGCTTTGATTAGATTTTGAACTAAAAAAAAAAAAAAATGAAGCCAAAATTGAAAATGGCCTCAAATGCGCTTTTCCATATGCCAAAGTTGATTAAATGGAAATAAATTATGGAAAATTACGATTATGAAATGTTTATTGAATATGTTTTTTGCCATGCCAAAGGCCGCACAAAATGTTTGTCGAATACCCTTCAAAAGCTGACTGAAGTGATCCCTAAATATGAAAGCTTTACGAAATTTGTAAGACCCAAAATATATAGAGAATGTCAAAATAGAAAATTGTTACGAAGTTTGTCCAGACAGAAATGTCTGGACAAATATTTATAATGAAAATACTAAAGCATTTTTATTATTAGATTAAATTTCATATTTGTTGTATTAATATTAGTTTAAGTATTAGATAATTAGCGTTTACTGTGAAATTAAATACTACAAAAGGGCGAGCAAGAGATGCGATTCTTCTTCTTCTCGGATGACGACTAGGCCAGCAGTAGATCTGTAGATAGTATATACTATATTGACTAGAGTACATTATAGAGTACAGCAGCTTTATACTAGACACAAATTATATAGGTGTCACACCTCTCTCTCACTCTCTCTCTCTCTCTCTCTCTCTCTCTCTCTCTCTCTCTCTCTCTCGTTCTGCCTTTGCTCAGTCAATAACTATAATTGAGTTGCATTTCCCATAAAAATCATTAAGTTTTGTGCATTCCCGCTGCCCACACAGTGCAACGCTTGCACCCTTGCGGCTCACCCTCTAAATTGCATTTCAGCAAAACATTTTCATTTGCATTTGTGACCCTCCTCCAACTGTCTATCATCATCATTAATGCATTGCTCACTCGAATACGATCGAAAACGTAAGCTGAAGAGCAATTTCGTACGTTACGCTACAAGCTAATACGATACGATATTCATTTACGATATATGATATGATACGGTTTTTGGGCTCGGATTTGGTTTCGATTTCGATTTCGATGTCAGCTTCAGTTTTTCGGTTTTTGTTTCGCGCTGCTCGGGTGAAATTTTTTCAAGTTTATTGCAAACAATCGAATTCGTTTTATTTCATTTATGTTTTGTTTGTACTTGTTGTTGTTGTTTTTCTACCTTAAATACTTTAGAAGCTATAGCTAATCGGGTATATTGATATATTGATGACATTCTTATGCTCTGTGCAGCTCGAAATGCACTGCTTAAAAGTGATACAGTTTTGGTGTCACTGCTAAGCAAAACAGTTACAGTTTGTGAGTTACTATGCAGACGGACATACAGTTGCAGTTTGAGAGTCGATGGGAGAGTAGAGAGAGCACAGCTTTGGAGCCACTGTGTAAGACGTGCAGTTTAGCAGTCATAGGTTTACAACACATTAGTTTAAGAGCAACAACTCTATATAGTTTGAAAGCCACTGAGGGCCACTGAGCAACTTTACGCTCTTCCTTTTGTTCCAATTCCACACAGAGCATCACACAGTCGTAGCAGCTCATTTGGATTCGGTGTTTCAGTGAAAATTACAACAACAAATGACCTTTTAAAGACAGGCAGTTCCAGTTGTTGTTGCAGCTACTGCTGCTGTGTGGGCAGAGGCAGCGCTGCAACTGAGGCGAATTTCGAATGCGACTGTGACTACGAAATGTGAAATGCGCCATGGGCGTGGGAGAAGGAGAAGGTGAAGCAGGGTGATGGGCAGACGGAGGGGAGACTGCCCACTGTCAATGCCAATGCCAGAAAATGGGGAAATGGGCTGGCTGCGGGTGCTGTAAATGGCAATGGGAGCGGCAGGCTTTTTTAGTCGCCGTGGGTGGCCTTTGAGTGAAATTACCCCTATGTACATAAATTTCATTTCAGCATTCTGTATTGCTGTCAACTTTTCATATTTATTAATTTGAAACAATTTTTTATTGCTCTCATTGCAGGTAAGCATCAAATTGTGGCATGGCTTTGTGTTGAATGTAGCGATTGGGTCCCAAACGTGACTGAGGACTGCATTTAGCTTAAGCTCGTTCATCGTTTACCGCATTTTGTAGAGTCGAGTGTTTATTGTCATGGGTAAGCTTGTTATTGTTATCACATTGTTGTATTAAATGGTCGTGTGTGTGATGTGTGCTGTGTGCCGTGGGCTGTGGGCAGAGGCACACATCGAAAGCGCACTCAAAGCATTTGCAGGCGAAAAAGCTTTTAAGTCACTCAAACTAAAGGCAGCAAGCAGCGCAGTCGACGCTGGCATTGCGCTGCCGTTGCGCTGCCTCTCTGCTGTGTGTATCTGTGTGAGTGTGAAAAATGTAAAACAAGCATCGCTTCCGCATGCAGTCGCTGGCGACAGCGCAGCTCATGCGAAGCGTAGCGACAGCTTTTTACGAACTTTGGCGCAGGCTGCGCGAAAGAAAGTAAACAGTGGAATGCGCAAAATACGCTGAAATGTAAAATAGT